AAAACGCACAATGCGCTATGAGGATTCGCCAAGAGCGAGACGAGGATCTGGGCATGGGAGAGACCGGAAGTTGAACTCCAAAGCGTGGTGTAGCGGGCGATGCTGCGGCGGAACAATGGACTCGGCATTACCGTCCAAGGGTGACTCCAGAGAACGTACTGGGAGAGGGGGAAAAATCATCGGGAGCACGCCGGGAATCGGAATTCGGAGATGAAGCGTCCTCGTGTCCCTGTCCTCTTCATCGCTGACAGGGCTCTGGACGGGTCGCGGGGCGAACTCGGAGGTCTGCGGTCCTAACATAGAACGAGGTCCTGTACCGGAAGGCTTCAGCATCCAACCGGCGTTCATTCCCGATGGCGGACCACTCCGGTCGGCTCGAGGCGATCGTATTTGTGTTTTCCAGTCAATTTCGATAAGGAGCGCGCTGTAAGAGAACATTTCGATGACGTTTGAGGGCAGCGGGCCGCTGATTACAGCGATCTTCGTTTAATTCGCCCATCCGTTCGCTCGACTACAGCGCCAAGTGTTTCGTGATCTATTTTTAACGTAATTTCCTCAGAAAACCCCGACTCCCCGTTTCAGATCGACTACCTCTTTCGGTCACCGGACAGGGATCTTCTCCCTCATGAGCAGCTGCTGGGAGAGAGGAATGCTCCGGGAAAATTCGGGCGAATGGGAGGAAAGAGATCACGGCGAGGTTCAAAAGTTCGTCGTGACCTTAAAAAACGCTCTTTTTCCACTGCACACTTTCAGAAAGGATGTCCGAATACTTTCGGACTCACCATTCACATAGGTTCATTCAAGACGGGGAGGGGAAAACTGCGGGTCCAGCAAGGATCGGACGGCTCGCCGGTAACTGCGTCATCCGAGTCCATCGAGAGGCTCTAATGCGTTACATGGAAGAGGCCGAGGTGAAAGCAGAGAACGATCAGAACGAAGCGATGCGTTGCTGCGAGAAGTATATTTACTCAAGGACACTTCGCCATTTGCGTCGGCAACAACCGTAGGCGTACATCTCCGTACACTCGCCCGTCTTTTCGCGCGAGACAAGGATTCGAGATGCATCGGGAGCATCGCGACCGAACCCTGTAAATGGGATAGGGGAATCGTGTGTCGATGTCCTCGCTCCGTCTTTTTCTCTTTTGAAGACACTTAGATATAGATTTGGTGGCCGACCAGTCGACTTGCTGCCAGCCGAGGCCCGAAGTGGAGCCGAAGGCCGAACCTCGGCTAGCAGGCGATCGGGGGAGCTCGGAATAGCCTCTGTCCGTGCAGCTACCAGTAGTGGTGCTTCTTCTCTCTTCTTTATTATACTGATGACTGGGCTTTAGACGAGTTTGCTCCGATGCTGCCGGTCGAGCTGTAGCAGGGCAAGGTCGTTAACAATTTTCAAGGGGGCGATGAGGCTTTGAGTGTATAGTGAACAGGAAGGAGCAGGATCAGGGAACAGCGACGACGACGGCAGCGCGGCGGCGGCAGCAGCAACGACAGAAAATTACAAAGAGACCTCTTTACCGAAGCGAACACCATGCTTTTTTCCGCCACTCAACGGAGAATCATGGAATCGTACGCGATTTTCCAGACGCGAGTCGCAGTCCTCGACACAGATTCCGAACTCCCGGACTTCGAATCCCCTGTCAGGCTGACCGGAAGACCCTCTCCTGGAGAGAACGGTTAGAATACGGATAGAAAATCATATCGTGTACATACATCGGTCAGGAACCTGAGCTCTTGGAATTCGAGTTACTCCGGGAAACGATTCCCGCGCTCGCTCCGTGCCGGAGCGTTTCTGGATCTCCAGATCCGTGCGGAGTTCTCCCGCCCGGAGGAATCTGAGGAACCTCCCTTGGCTGTCTCCTTTGGAATCGCCCCCTGGCAGACGGAGGAACGAATCGAAGTGCCGTAGGAGCTCCTTCACCCCGAAACTCTTTCCGGCAGACGCATGATCACAGCCCCGAATCGAGTTCCTTGATGGATGCAACGGTCCCGAGTCAGGGCGCGCGGGTCGGTGCTCGATCTGTTTGATTTGACGAACTCGGAGCAACGAAGTCTCCAAGTTAATCGCACGCATAACGGAACTGAGATTGCGAACGGATGTCGTCGTCGATCGACAGCGATGTTCTTGAAGAATTATGACGAATCATCCGGTCGTCACGCGAGAAACCGCTCCATCTCGGCGCTATCTCAAACTTTGAGGAAATTTGTTTAGATACCGCTGAGGATACCTACTTGAAATCTGCTTTCCGTCGAGTGGAGGGGAGCCTGAACTCCGATAGCGATCCCGACGACTCTATTCGGAGCCCACGGAGCTAGCAAGTGAACATTTACGAGAGTTTCCCTTCGATCTCTCCAAAGCTCCGAGAAATAAGGACCTCAGTCCTCGAAGTCCCTCGTAGACGCGGGGAGGATGGAGCTCGATCGTAGTATCTCGGAGAAATAGACACGGTGTTTTTCTCTGACTGAAGCTCTTCTCAACAGAATATGCATCGGATTATGCGAATCTGCGTCTTTCTTCCAAGTCCAATCATGGCCCTCAAGGCTCCGCCGTGTCATCCCGCACTCGCTGCTGCTCATTCCTCACCAATCACAAGGAAACAGCTGGCGTTTGCAATGTCCCACAATAATCGTGGGTTTTCGATCTGGAGATAAGCCTGCCTGCAGGTAACGATCGCTCGGGCGCCGGTGGCAGAATGCAATATGGCATCAGCGTAATCTTGTCCCTAATCTGAGTGGATTCCGTGCGGAAATGAAGGGAAAACCCACGAATCAGGCGAGCGGCCGATCAAGCAACTTACTCACTCGGAGCCGCGATTGTGAGCTCGGCTCGCCGTAGTCCACCGACCGAGCTTTATTGGTTTCAGTCTCATAGCAAGGCCAACTTCTAGCTATCTATTATGGAGGAGACGATATCTGTTATGACCCACGGTTGGCATTAATCCACAGAGAGCTCGCTATCATCTGTATCGCCATGGGAGCGGTGGGAGTTCCTTCTCGTCCTCTGAACAGGAGCTCCACGGAATTCCCAGTGCCCAGATCCAGATGAATATCGGCGCGATGATGGCGACGGGTGTGGAGATCGACGAGTCGGACCGCCCGATCCGCCCCCCTCTGCACGCCGCTGAGAGAGACTTATGCGTAAGAGAAGTCTCCGATGCCATTGTATAAACTCGCTGGTTAAGCGGCACGCTAGCGCAAAAGACACTGAAACTCATGTCGAATGTCAATCTCCTCGTTATCGAGAGCGGATCGGCAAAGGAACGCCGGCGCCGGTACGGATGCTCTCAGTATACGAAAAAAATCATATTCTCTCCACGCGGTCGCGATCCCTGAGAGAGACAGGTGAGATTCGACAGACCACCAGACGATAGGGAGATCACGGATTGCTCTCCCGGCTCGCATCGCGTCAACGGGCTGTCACATCTGACATTTTCCATCTTTAATATTTTTCTGTTTCAAAAGTCACTGTTTCCTTCTTAGGGAATACGACGCCACATTCCCTGTGTCCCCGGCTGTATTTAAAATTCGTAATTCGTGACAATAAATTCTGGGGCGGGGAATCCTGCGCTGTACGGGTGGTTCGCCCACGATCGATTCACCAAAAAAAACTCAGGACAGGTCACAGAGAGCTTATAGCAACCTAGAGGCCTCTCTCCCTTTCGGAATACGTCAATTCGGGACAACCGAGTCATGCCTGCGCTCATGAAGGGCCCTTTTCAGGTCATCACGAATCTCTCTCCTCCGAAAACTGGAACATTCAAAAGATGCTCGTACTAGCTGCTTCTTCGGCAAAGCCTACGTGCAGCAGATCACACCAGGAGCATCAAGCGTCTGACGGTGGAATCGGCTGCGCACAAGCCAGAAAGAAAGCCATCTGGTCAGACATTCCGCCTGAAAAAACATTGCGTAATAGCGTCATTTGTTCCCGTTGTGCCGCGCTGTTAATCCGAGCCGTCCTCTTGCTTATCCGATGAAGGACTTCTGATGGCCACTATGACTGTTTAGCCGCTACGTCAAGCGATAGCGAAAAACGGGTGCCTTCGTGGTGGCATTTCCATATTAGATCGGGGTACAAAATTCTGTTCGACTGATTTCAGTGAGAATAGTAGAGGAGTCGAACCGTCTGAAAATACGCCATCTATCCGACGGTTGGTTGCATCGAAAACGACTCGGGATGGAGGGGACAAGATTTTGACGGAATCCCTTCGAGAAAAAGCCGATTCGCGAGAAAACCGTCATCGCTCGAATCAGGAGCGACGAATGTGGCCGACTGGCGAGAATAATAAAGTCGTCCCATGGGAAACGTCGCAGATTTTTTTCCCAGGCCGCTGGAAATACTCACGGAGGTATCAAGTTGTCGTCACGGACGTTGTGAGTGGAGTTGACAAGACCAAAAACATTCATGATAATCCGCTGCAACATAATCGCGCTTGATGAGGCAGGAAGTGTAGGAGCCAATGCCTGCAGAAGAAAAGTCATGAGCAAGTGTCTCTATGCAGGCAATGCCTACGGAATGACGGGCCGACAAACGAAGGCATGAATTAAACATCACGACATCACTCAAATCGGTAGGCCGAGCCGTCCGGTCGGACAATGTATCAGTTTTATTAAATAAAAGATCACCCAACGAGTGAGCGAGTCACACGAGCGTGGGTAGATCCATTCCGATCTCTGGCATACCGGTGTCATTTTTTCTAGGCACCTTCCACGGTCTCTTTTCTTTGCAGATTTATGAAATCGTTGCTGCGAATCGGAAACCCAAGCAATGTTCGGCGATCCTACTTTCGAATTTGTCGAGGGAGCTGAGCCATCTACATTCATTTTTCTATTCCCGATAGGAATATCTTCTGTCCGTCTTATTTCGAAAAAAATACTGTGATCCTTCATCCCGGGGAGAAAACTCCTAGAATATTACGTGATCATTCGTGCGAATGTCGAAGACCGGTGTCCTTGCCAGTGGCGCCCTCTGGCACCAGGCGCCTTCGCATGGAGCCGTTTCTGAGCCACGGTCGCGCAGAAGACGATGGCAAACACGACCGTCTTGATAACGGGTGCCAACACCGGTGAGTTATTGTGTGTTCCGCGAACTTTCGGCTCCAGTAGTATTATACATTCTGGCTCGAGTCTGGGCCTCGGAGTGTTTGGTTGACGCGCGAGGTTTCTTTTCGTCTTGACAGTATTCCCTCGATCCACATGGTTACTGACATTTCCTCTCGCTGAATTTCTTCTGACAGCGTGTCCTCCGGGATTTTCCCGGAGGATTCCTCTGTTGAACAGGACATCAGATCAGTCTAGAAGCGATGCAACCGTTCTCCTCTTCGGAATTGGGGCATCATTTGGAACTCCTAGAAACTCGATCGATCCGTTAATCAATCGGTTAAATTTTAATTCAGCGCATAACCACATACGAGCTCATCGTTGCGGAAGCCGCGGCTCTTGCCATTGTTTTCGACGCATCGCTGCTAATATCGACGCTGAACAAGCTCTCAGAGTATCGGACATTTTTAATGAACAGCCACTGAGGAAGTATGCTGAGGTTTTCTATCGGCAGCTCGCACGTCAAGCCACCGCTCCGCTGTCTGTGTATCTATTAAAAGTTTTACGAATCCCTGCTAGCTGAGTTGAGAATTTCGTAACTTCCACTAATTACCTCGTTGCTTGGATATTAGCGAGACCGACTAGCGAATCGTTGAAAACTCGAAAGGCTCGCGAGATTTCTCCGATCGTCTTAAGGCTCCGACAGCAATCGAAACGTCTCACGCTTGTCGGTGCGATACTTTTTTCTGTGAATGGCTGATGAAACGACATACGTATCCCATCTGTTGCTTCTCCGCGAGCCTGCGATGATAAATCGGATTTCAAGGAGATTCTCCAGGCTCAGTCGAAAACGACCCCCAAAACACTTCCCTTACAGGGTTGGGGTTCGAGACTGCTCGTGATCTCGCCCGATCGGGAGCGCGGATCATCCTGGTCTGCCGTTGTCAGCAGAAAGCTCGCCATGCTATCAAGACGATCGCAGAGAGCGTTCCTGGATCGGAGGGAATGCTCCAATTCGAGACTGTAAGAGTTTTCGATCTCTCTTCAACTTTTCTCCGCAGCGTCCATCTCCCAGACAGGGCTTGTGAAAACCTTGTCATGAACATGCGTTCCGGATCCGTGTCCGGCCGATCTGCCCTGCCTCCTCGTATCTCATGGTGAGGTCGAGTAGAGCTGACGGACCCGATGAATTGACATATTTTGCTTTGTTTCTCTCACCCAGGCCGACTTGAGTCTTCTGTCGTCGATAAAAGCGTTGGTTGAGCGTCTCAAGTCCGCGGAGATGAAAATAAATGTACTGATAAACAATGCAGCCATACTACCACCTCCGCAAAGAAGTCTCACCTCGGAGGGTCTCGAAGTGACTTTTGCCACAAACTACCTTGGGCCCTTCTACCTCACGGGTCTTCTCATGGAGTCGGGTACGTCGACGTCTGTGCGCTTCAGCAGACGATCCACCAGAAAAGGACCAGGACTGACACTTTTCCCCCGACATCAGGTTGTCTCGTTTCGGGGAGCTCATGCTCTAAAATCATCAACGTTTCTTCTGACCGACATCGTCGCGGATGGGTGGATCTCGACGGTGAGTTTCCCTCAATTCATTTCTGACTGACATGAGTGTTTCCCATCAGAAGAGAGGTTCACGCAGCACGCAGGTAGCTGATGACTTCTCTCACGGACCGTCAACGGTCTCTTGCACGAGTGCGCTGTCGGGCTCCCCCGACGCAGGACGTGTTGCCGATGCGGCAGGCAGGTCGAATGTTGAAGCTCTCGAGCTTCTGTCTGCCTGAACGATTGAGTGTCGGTGTTATTCTGATCATAATCCGATTTCGAGCCTGCGTACGGGGCCCCGACGATTCTCTCGTCATGATAAATCCGAAAGCATGCGGGGGAAAATCCAGAACGATGGATTGATCCCATTATCGAAACGGCCACCGTCTTCCAGACTTACCCTTGAACCGGAGTCGTTACCCGTCGGTCGACCAATTATACGCCAACACTAAGCTCATGCTGAACATGTGGACTTGTTGGCTAGCTCGCAACGTAGACGAGTTCGAGGTGAAGATTTACGGTGTCGAACCAGGTCAGTTCGGTAGCGGCTCCAATACTCACGATGATAATATCCACGGAGGGAGGTGCAAACGAGACTGAAGGAATGAGATGAGCGTCCGGGCTCCGAGTTCTCCTCCGCAGAATCCAATAAAGTGAAATGCACGCTTCCGCAGGATTCGTCGATTCGAAGTTCACTCGCTCGCACAGTTGGCTCTCGTTCCTGTGGAACTTCCATGTGTCTCTCAACAGTTTAGAGGCCTCGTTCGGCCATTCCAGGATCGTCAATCTGGCGACTGAGCGAGTCAACCACGCAACAGGTTCGCAGTTTGTGGGAGCTAAATGTTGTGGTCTCCTTGTCAGAATGCAATCGCCTGGTCCCTTTCCGGATCCTCAGCCCCACCTTTTTCTCCTCGCAGGCATATACCATCGACATGTCGGTGTTCCGCATCATATGGCTGAGCAGGTTTGGGACTACGGGAGTCAACAAAGGATGATAGACGCCTCCTGGAAAATAATCGAACAAATCACATCCACATGGAGATAGGGCGCACAGATTGCTCGAGACATTACGATTAGCGAGAAGGGATCCTCGCTCCTGTGCCTTCTCCGATTCGGATTATATTCCACAGAGAGAGGATCTTCATTCATTCGTATCTTATTTGGGAATATTCTGCTGAGTATCCGACACGGATATTCTTCTGAACGAATAATCCTAATCATCATCTGATAGAGATTCGTAGCTGAGGAATAAATTCCTTGAACTTTGTCGAGCGGTCGATGCCGCATGCCATCGGCTACCGAATCGTGCAGATTACGCATCACACTCCTGGAGTATAATAAAAACCTGCAATTCCTCGATGGACGCCTATTTAAGTTCCTTGATTTCATTTTGTTATGAATCATCTTCGGAGCCTCCCCAGACTTGGAAGCCCCAGAAGTACTTCATGGAACCCTGCCGGCTGCCCGTTGAGGAAGCACGGCGTCATTTTCCCGTTCAAGGTCCCGCCGAGACGTCCCGGTCTCGCACCGCTCGCGAGCCGATCATGATCGCTTCTCATAGCGCGCAGACAACGAAGGGCCGGGACCGGGTTGCACCCGAAAGTCAAAGGGAAAAAGCTACCAAATACAGCACATATTGAATAACTGGAGTTTATTGAGAAGCTCCCCTCGATGGACGATCTTCTGATTTCGTCACGAAATGGAGAGACCGGGTGGCGTCGCCTCGCGGAAGCTATCGAGAACCGGATCGAAGGTCAGCAGAGTAAACTCGGGATAGTGGAACGTCAAATCGCAGCTTTCGATGACCTTCCCCTCGATCTTGTACTGGTGAGTGTCGCCGATCAATGACGAGCGCGATGATAACGGTACCTACCCTGAACCTGAAGAGAATAATGCGTTCTGAATTCTTCCGGCAGCCTCTCTGCCGTCTTCCCTCTTTAATAGTTCATTCTTCTCCTCAACCTTGACTTGATCGCTCAGGATCACGGTGACATGGTCATGGAGCGATACTTTTATTTCGAGCGAAAGCTTAAAAAATACAAGACATCAGTCCGACGGAATCGCCGACGACTCGTAGCGTTGTACAAAACGGAGCTTGTGGATCACCGATTACCGAAGAGACAATGTACCGAAAATGACCTCTTCAGATAAGACAATAAAGATACGTACAACTTCCGATGTCGAAGCGACCCCATAAATTCCCATAGTTGGAACATCTGATCAAATGAGCAACAGGTCTGTCATAAGGGGGGGAATTCGGCCATCCGGGACTCGAGGGATGCCACTTGTTTCCTCTAAGCGGCGGCTCCTCTTTGCTGACACGCTCCGTCGATTTGTTGGCGAACGTCCGGGTCAATGAGTGAATCATGTTTACTTATGCACCCCCATGAGTGAGCGACGAAGACGGCGGTCTGCCGCGGCATGAGAGTGGGAGTTGGAGAGCGAGCATTCCGATCGAGTCAGTCCGAGAAAACTAAATCGGAAAACCGGGGGACCAAGTGTCCTCGGATTGATCCTTGATCACTCCATATATCTATCTACCATCTACCGATTTTCCCGCTGAAATCGTATAGAGGTCACTTGGCCCGCTCAAGACTTTCGAACTCCACTCGGCTGATCCCGCCGGCGAAGCGCGCTCTGTGCTTCGTGAGGGAGCTCGTGTTTATCAAATGGGAAGGAGGGACGCCTCGGCGAAGCTGTGAGGAACCAGCACCGAGCCAGAGGTCCAGGGGGAGGAGAGTGGATACTGCGGTGGAGGAGGAAGAAAACGTGATGAGGAAAAAATCGCAAAAACGTTGCGAGATCGTCCGCATCGCCTCTACAGACGAGTGGCCGACCAGATGCCCCCAACGCGATGCTACCGCCTCGCGAGTGTGCCCCGTCTCGCTCCTCGTTGGCGAGCATCGGCGGACTGTCTGACTGACTGACTGATGCTTCCACTGGCACTGATGCAGCCGTTGGTGGCAGTCTTGGAGCTCCGGTGGCGCGATTATAGGAAACCGATCGGGAGCATCCCACGTACAGCGAAGAGTCAATTGGAAGTGCACGATGGCGGGAAACGCCGCCCTCCAGTTCTCCGTTTCCAACCTCTTGCCCAACATTTTCTTCGACACTTCTGCTTTCAAGCGACTCCCTGCGGATTCGAATAGATGGGGGAGCTAATCAGCTGCGGGATCTCCAGGGCGAGAAGGGACATACCGAGAATCGGGCCATGTTCACACCCCCGATTCCCACAGATAGTGAATATCTTCCGGATGAATGACTCCCTGGGAGACCCTGACTCACGCTACAAACTTCCGCGGAGTTTCATGCCTAATATCCATTTCCATTTCTTTGATTCCTAAAATATCCCATTTCCGCCATGCTGACGCACGCGTTTTAGGGAGAAAACGGATGAGTTGAGTTTAGATTTCTCGGAACCAAGACGGTTCTCGATCCAGGTCCTCTTTGACCGCTTCGGGGTGCTTGTTCTATTCGAAGTGGGAGTACAAGGTGAAGGGGACAATACACGACTGTGAAAAACGAACGATGCATCCATCCCAACACGGCAATCGCATCAAGAGCTCAAGTGGCCTACCTGGCCCTGCGACCGCTTGACTGCTTGGGAGTAGTTTGACGCAAAGGTTGTGCGCCGGTGAGCTCTCAGCTCCCGCTTGCTATGTCACAAGCGCACAGAGTCGTCGAATAGAGCTCTCCGACGAATTCATGTGCTCTCCCTCCTATTTTGCATATTTATTGCGTGTCTCAACATCTGTCCCTGGGAACTCAAGGTCCAGTCCGGCAAGACGCTGCGCTGGGGCGAATGCTGTTTTTGCATGGGTCCTGCGGGAGACGGTGCCCATTCGCACTCGCACTTTCTTCAACGTTATCTTCCTCTCAACCCAAACTCAGGAAGTTTGAGGGAGGCCCAATCCAGAAAATGGGACATAGAAGAGAGGAGAGCGCCCTACAGATGGGACGAAAATCAGTGGAGCATTTCTGACAGTCGGTGATCGAGCGTTCTGACACCGTTCAATCTGAAACGAGCCGGGAGTAGAGTGGGTCAGGAGTCCGAAGGGACACCAATAGCAGGTGTTTCTCGCAATGAGCTAGACTCTCTGTAGAGATGAGGCATTGGCGTTTATCGAAATATTTTATCCTCATCTATAAGTATGGGTTTGCGAACGAATCTCAATTCGTGAGAACCGAAGCTCAGAAGAGATGACTTCTCGAGTGAGCTTGACCGACAAAATCAGCCTCCGGCTCCTAGGTCATGTGATTCGATGAGGTACCCGTCGACACCAGCAGACGTCGCACTCGCTTTTCCTGTAATCGGTATCGAAATTGAAGCATCACAAATACAGATATTAGAATGAGGAGCATCATAAGGCGATTCCAATATCAGAAGGTGTCCCGGTGAAGTTCGTTGGGTGTATACGAAAGAGGGATTATATCATTGAGGGACGTTGAGGACCCGAGAATGTGTCGGTCTGGGATAAATCACGAGGGTGGAAAATCTGGTTGGGCGCTCGAGCCTGAATGCTTCATCGAACGTGGCCCAGGAGCAGCCGGGAACCCGCGCACATATCCTTCGATTTCATCCTCCCCTCTCCTCGAATCGCCCGTCTTGGCGGCGGTGCTCTCCGCGATGACTTCATGACTTACGGATAGCCAGGAGATCCTCATCGATCTGCTGGGGTGTGAGGCGATATACGATGTAGGGATAAGGGGTCGATGAGTCCGGCGACGCGTCTCGGAGGTCTTCGAAATTCCCCGCCGAAGCGTGAGAAGATTCCCCACTCCGTTGACTCCTCAGTCGGTTTTTGGCAAATCGTGCTCGTGCTTCATCGGCTCGACTCAGTTTCAGCACCAGTTGAGTCAGAAGCACGTCATTGAGCTCGGCGTAGATCTCTCGGAAGACGTCGCTCCTCGCCTGGACGCTGGATTCCTGCGGTTGAGTGGTGGCGAGGCTGAGGAATTGGGGAAACCACAAGAATCGACGGCCGTGGACCGCGGAAAAATCTCCGATCGACGAGCCGAGGTAGAGAGAAGATCAAGGCGGAAAATATCAAGGAGCGGAAGTTGTTCACAAAGAAAAGCTTTCAACGTGCCTGGAGTTCCCTCAGGTGAGAGCATTTGTTGGCTTCGTATTGATGCCGCATGCTTTCGAGACGAAACTTCAATCGACGCTCCGCAACTTCAATCATCTCTCGGCGGGAGCTGTCGATGGTATCCTGTGGGAGGGAATTGAACTTAATTCTCGAAAACGTCCCCTGCCAGTTGAAACATCCGCTTATCTTCCCCAGTGACCCCCTAGGGATAGCTTTCCCGAGAGGAATGAGAAGTTGGCAGAGGGGTTTGGGGGCGCAGAAGTCAGGGTATGTGAACTCCCACGCGGAATTCCTTCCCGCGGGAAATTGGCTTTTTGGCCGAGAATAAGAAATGGTACTTACGTTCATCCTCAGTGACAATGCTCGAACTGGCTTATCACGTAATCACTGACATATCGAGACCCATTCCGATCAGCTAACGTTCTTTCCTGGAGTTTAGAGTTTCAGCATCGGAACGCCGCAACAGACGTTTAGAAGACTGGGATGGTGTCGATGTCGATGACGCATCATCGACGACGGAGAAGACGACGAAGCTAACAATTGCGCTGACCGTCAACGTCAACATAACTCCGAAATTTCTCGAATCGACTTCTCGATTCCAGAGGGGCCTTAGACCCCGCAATGAGTTCGAACCAACTCGGGTTCGCGGTACACCACACGCGCTGTATTCAATTGAGTGGAGAGCTGGCAGAAAATTCCGTTTGCTGAGATCTGATCGAGTTTGTCGGTCGGCGGTTCGGTCTCAGGTCTCACCACCCACTCACTCAGTGTTGCTGACGCGGTGCGCAAACATCGAGGACGGACATCCGTTGGAGCTACGTATCTATCCAGAAACCTTATGGAACGACGCGGTGAATGGAAACTTGGAGACATCATTTTACATCAAACCTCTGACTCTCGAGAAGGTAGAACTTCAGAAAGAAGCCGCGGACCACGGAGAATGATTCGAGGTCGG